CCCCCCCTCCCTCCTCTGCTATATGTCAGGCCTCGCCCCTTCTCAATGTTTGAGTAACAGTTATAAAGTCAGAAACAATGCGCTATTTTATTGGAATGCGAATTGCACAGTTGGCCCTGTAATTGCCAAAAATTGCATATGATGTGCTAATTTCGTAGTCTGATCATTGCTTTTATGCCGTTTTGATGATAATGTGCAGGATTCGGTAGTCAAATCATTAGCTTCTATAAAGAGTGATTTGTGATCGTTACAACATATTTCTTAAATATCTTTCAATTTAACAATACTTTTGAGTTCTATTCAATCATACTTGAGTTTCGGAGACCACAAGTTAGTAAAATAGTACAATTTTCGTAATTGACGATTTCATAAAAGTACTCTCATGAATATAAGAAAGACCACTTCCGGGAATGATCACGTTCCAAAGGGTCGATTATTTTTACTTACTGAAATCAATTCTACACACGAATGAATCCGATCACATACTAATAAGTCCTTTCTTTTTAGAGAATAGTTAATTACTACCACCTGTAACATATTAGGAACTGCGGGCAAAGGCCACAGAAGACTCCAGATGGAACACATCATGTCTGTTACACGCTGATTAGATAGGCAAACTAGTTACATTTACGAGGGGGAGGGGGGATGTTTAATCATACTCAAATAACCGTGTCTCGAAGAGACATTATTATGTGATCTGACAGCACCGACAACTTAGACACTACACGATCCAGTTAAACTTGCCTATTATGAGATATATATGAATCGAGATGCCTTTGACCAATCACTCGATTTAAATAATTTGTTATTGAAATGAACTACGTATATATCATTTGAGCGAACTCAGGTATAGGCCGCCATGTTCAAACACTTTTTGTAGTCTCTATTCATTGCTGTAAGGGGAAGTAAATGATTCACAATGACGTAGCCAACAATTCACTGGAATCAATTGGTCAAAAAATTCGAAGTATTGTGGATATTGGTTCTTCAAATAAAGAATATAAGCTTTATTAGAAGTAAATGGTATTCTCTTTGATAAAGCAGACAACTAGATTCCCCTCGCATTCAAACGTCATTCAACCCTTGACTCCTTATATTTGACATCCGTTGTACAAATTACTGAGCTTCATTGTATCTGTTGACAACCACAGACAGCCAATAACGTCAAGATCAATTTGTTTGCTATTTCGTACCTGAAAAATTTGACAAAACTCACCACTTCCTAAGTGGACAACGTGATGAGACATTAATTCAAATCAATTAAGACATTCCAATTCTTTTGGCATTTGTCTACACAGGCAAAGCTGTCATCACGTATAATGCATATATATTCTCATCAAGGATAATTGTGTCGTTTGAGTCCTCCTCTGGTTTGCTGCGTTTGCTGTAAATATGACATATGCCCGTCAAATGTAATTTCCAGCTCGCAAAAATTGCTCGACTGTTGGTTCAGATTGATGCACAATTGGCAAATCTTTCTCTCGATGTCCATTTCGATTTGTAAGCAATTGGTAAAAATAATCGACTGTTTACTCTACCACTCGCATGCATGTTGGCTAAATATTGCAACTAATGTTTTTTGAAGAATAACGCGTGAGGGTCGCTTTAAAGTGCTCCCAGTAATTGATTGTTGGTAGTATTGTATCGTATCTCGTACTTGCCAATATTTGTGACCGAAATATTTAAGGGAAAATTTGAACTAATTCATATTTAAGACAAACTTTTATTTCGAACGCTCTCGTAAAGTGCAAATAGATTTCCGTTCTAAAGTAAAAAAAATAGTTCGCGAATTTGCTGCTAAAAAACTGACACTGAACTTGATCTGACCCCTTTGTGCTTTGCTCATCTCGAGCGATGCACACTCGCACACACGCAAATATAAGGCTGTATTAGGACTTATGGCGTGAAAATTATTAATTTGGCCTTTATGAGAGGAAACAAAGTGGCTAATCCAACTTTTAACAACACTAGTGACGCCACTGTCCAATTTATCAGTTTATGCGGTTTGTTATATACGCTATCAGACGTTTCGACACTTCTTTTTTTTAAGTACTTGAAAATAGACGTATAAGCGAATGCAAGCATGCGTTGATTAAAATTGGCGGGTGTTCCAAAGTTATATCTAAATCTAAACTCCAACCCAGATTAACTTTACAAGTATGTTGATGTCTAGTTCAGATACACTAATCAATATTTGAGTTTCTAAGACGTCTTCACCATTCATGAAAAGAACCTTCAGATTTACTCTTCTCTGGATAATTACACTTTCGTCCAAATCGTAGTCGTTTTGTTGGTCTAATGGACTACTTACTAAATAGTACAAGAAATTTGGTTGTTCAATAGTTTGCGTAACCGAGATATTCTAAGTACAAGATTGAGACTAGGTAATTGTAAAAATCGAATGAGAGGAACGATGGAGGATTGAATTTTGAGTTAAATTTTTATACGATGATAGGGATATTGTTTTGGGAAAGTGAAATCATGATTGATTTTACATTTAAAATTTTGTAGCTGTCTTTACTATCGATCACTTTGATTTTGTACTTTGCTCCTCAAATGTTCGGGTTAGCATGGAACTATTGTATTTTTCCTATTATCTTAATTTCTCATTAACAAAGACATAGATCTGCTACAACGAAATAAACAGAACGATCACAAAGGACTTCAATAGTGTACTTCATAATTATTAGGCAAATACTTTTCTTTATGTGTATCCTCTTCTGTCAAGTTAAAGTTAAGGCGATTATATCAGGTGAAGTGAGTAATTAACCCCAAAATTTAATTCTTGTCAATTAGATGGCAGAAAGGAATGTCTCATTATGGTGATTTCGTGATGGTCTCTTTTTATAGAAGTCCATTGTTCTTTAACTACTTAAAAAGCTCAATGAAAGGAAAAGGTCACCCATTGTTAGACATTCACTTGTCTTGGATCTAAACCAGACTCTACATCTTTCTGCTTAGGTACGAATGTACACCGAGACGGAAGCATTTTTAGAAGGTATTCATCGACAAATGAGTGTTATCTTAACCGACCATCTAGCCTACGTTCTAACCACAGTTCTTAACCGTCTTGCACGTTATGATGAAGGCAACCTTATCTCGTCGATTCTCACTCTTGCCGTAAGTCGGTTCTCTGTTAAAATTTTCATCTTCTTTTGTCACTTTAGTCTTTGTTAAGCACTCTTAATTACACCAAACTGGCCTTTTATCGATTATATTTGTCTTTTTTGTATGAAACAATTCCATTTCTTTCAGAAACCAGTTGACGAAGACGGCCGCAGTTACACCCATTTCATCAGTGCCAATCTGCAGATTTTGTGCCAGAATCTTGTTGACGATGTCTATCTCCTCTCCCTATTTGAAGTAAGTTCTCTCATATTAGACTTCTAGCTATCTACTCTTAAGAACTGGTACACGAGCCAACTGAGGTTGATCCAGGAGTGGCTTACACAACGACGAAATAATGTATTACACGCTTATCAAATCAAATGTTTAGCTACAATTGTGAGGGTAAGTAATTGTATGAACCACTTGAAACATGTCTAACCTCTGTTTTCTCATGTAGAAAGTGTTCTCGGACTTTGAGCTCCAGGGTGTGGCGACGCATGTTTTGGAAAATATGACATACAAGAACGTTTGTCACCGACTTCAGGTATGTTTGCATGTGAATATCAGCTTTTGCATTCGGCTGAATAAATGTTTCAGTTGTGCAGAAATTTGCCCATTTCTCTAGTATCTGAAGAAAGTGACTTGTAACACGCAATTATATGGACATCATTTGTTTATCTGGTGAAAATGCGAATCTAGTATTTGTGAAAGTTTTGGAAGCCCCTGGGTACAGGGTGCAGTGTTTGGCTAAAACTTTTAATTATCTTCCTTGAACTAAAGAAATGGAATGACATGAGACAGTGAGACAAAGAGTCTTTTTGGCAGTTGTATTTAAGGTGCAGATGTATTAATGAGTTGGATAGTTGATATTCAAATCTTCTTGACCGGGAAAATCTTTCAGATCAACCCAACACTGAAAAGACGTAAAGACCCCTGAAGGGATCACATATCTGGCAGTAATAGCCTAAGGAATATATTTAGGCACACCTGATAGGATTAGATGACTAGATAGTTCATATGGATAAATTAATCCAGACAAATATTTAAGTTGATGCATTGAACCTTTTCAGTAATTTTGGAGCGTTGTAAACCCCTAACTAATATGCATTTCGCTTTGTACACTATCCCCGGGTTAACAAAATCGGCCCGTTTATATTTTACTGCTCCCCTATTTTATGTCCTCTACATCTGCATTTTGTGATTGTGAGTGAGTACTTATTTATTGTATCCCGTTGGTGTTGCTTCTGTCTGCTAAGTAGCGCCACAATGCTTGGGAAAATGGGACACTTTGTTGCATCCACATGTGCCCTACTTCTGTGCCAAATAACAAAGCCCTAGCGAGTCAGTTATACACTGGGTTATGAGCATAGCATCTACTCTGCTAATCCATTTACTCTTTTATTGAAATAATTCACAAGCATTTTCCAAAGCTGATTTTTTTCTTTGGCTATAGGGGAGGCGTGCTATCAAAGTCCCAATTTATGAGTTGGTAGCTGTGTTTATCAAAAAATATTCCACCAGATCACTATTCTATTGATTTCCAAGCTCATTACTTGAGCAAAGGAATGATATTATTGAGAGGTTTTATTAAAACCTCTCATTCTACCATCTACCTTGCTAATCGGGCCCTGACAGCGGGGTTCGCCACTAATATCACTGTTGGAGATCACTATCGTAAATTAGCTTGAGACTTAGTGTTATTGACTATAGCATTGTTCTCTTGAATAGATGGATCGTTTTAACCAATAGGGCCTTCTCTACCTTACCATCCAAATTGATAATGTTTTGTTGTCATGCATTTTTCTCTGTTTCCTATCTCTTATTTCCTCCCCTCCCCCACTCCCCTCAATCCACTTAAATCACTACCTCCCTCATATCAAAGCACTTAAAGTCGAACCACTATGTTCGAAAGTTAGGTCATTACTGATAATTATATCTCCCCCCCCCACACACACACCAAAAAATCTTATTTTAATCATTATTCTTGAGTTGCATTAAAATGAGTAAATTAAACTGAGAGTTCCCATCTCTGTGAAATTCGGCAAATAGAGAACAAGAGCCCAGTAGAAAATATTGTTATCTGAGTGACGGTAGCGGATATTTACTAATACAGAGTTCGTCTTGAGTGATTGATTGATGAGCATAGAATCATTGCGGGCAATTATCTAATTCTAGAGTTGACGGTCTCATTTGAGAATCATCGTGGAAATGCTTTCTCAAAAGTGATATAATGGAATATGATGTGAACCGGGGTAAAAAGTCAGGTTACCCCATTGATGAGACATTTTGCACATTTAGCCAAAAATTTCACTTTAATATAAGAAAAAATACAGCAAGCTTAAATATGGCGGTGCTCGAGAGCTGTCAGTCACTTTAAATAGGGGATGTTTTCATATGATGATAAGGTTGAATGTCTGTGCTTATGCCCCTGGGATGAATGTGGTGAGATGATATTTCTGAAATCTTAGCCCTCCCGATCGCTAAACAGTAAACAGACAAGACAGGACGCAAGTGGATTCAATGATGGCCTCCTATGCTATTAAGCATCATGTTTGATTCCTTTATTGTGACTCCCTAAATAGGTATTTGAGTGCCATAATCTTTAATGTCGGTCTAATAAACAATTATTTCTTTATTTACTAATTCGATAACAGGAAAGTGTGTTTGCATAAATTAGACTTAAAACTCTCAGTAAATTAATATTTTGGCTGTGAATGTGTGTCTCTTTTAGGTTGAGGAAGCAACACTATCCGTTTCATCAAGCACAAGAGAAATCTCTCCTTCCTCAACACAATCAGCAGCAATAATAGACGGACGTCAGAACCTAATACGAGCAATTGGTGGTGGTTTGAGTTCCCTGGCCCAAGGTGCTGGTCTACGACATCGCCAGAATTAAAGTTCATCATCGTCCTCCCCTTTGACCACAGGCACAATCATACCCTTGTCTTTCAACGGTTATCTTTCTTCTTTCCATTTTCTTTTCTCAGTCTGTCCCCCTTATTGTGATATTATTATTCCAATCTTCTCCTTTGTTATTATTGCAATTTATTAAAGTAGTGATTGGAAAGTAAAACCAATGATTCTGACCATCTCTACTCCTGATTAATTTTCTTCAGCCCTTCCTTCCAGATATACTTACATTTAATTTTTCCCCTAGTGGGAGTATGTGATGAACGAATGTCTACCTATTTCTCTCACCATTTCCAAATTCAGTACTTTATTTGGCCTATGAGGGCATTTTCAAATTGTGGTTTATTTTTGTACTTACTGGCTTCCATATCTACAATGTGGTGTTCCAAATGCGATTCGAACCTCCCCCCCCCCCCACACACACACTCTCCCATTTTAAAATACTTCTATGGTTCCTCCTTTTGTCAAGTTATTCAATTGGATGTTCGTTATTATTACTATTACTACAAAATTACTTGATGGATTATACTTATGATAGAATTTATTTAAATTAATTTAATTGTTACGATATTCCTTGGAACTGGGATAAAGTTTCTTTACTCAGAAGTTCTTGAGAGGGGAGGATACTTAATGAACCATACAATTAAGATACTTAAATTGTTTTCATCAGTTTGTGCATAGTGCCCTTAAAGGAGTTTAGAAAAGTGTAGCTCTAACACCCATCATTTGGGATGGTCGCCATCATAATTTAAATAAATATTTAACAAACGTTTGGATAAAACAAGTGAGCTATATGGAATGAAAGTGGTGTGGTGCCGATTGCTACAAAATAAGCTTAAACTTATTCTCAGTAATCTCTTTGGCAAATCCTCCTACTTGGGAATGACTCCAGGACTTGAACTATCGCAATGATATAGAGAAGCAAGATGTATTCTGAGTGAAGCATTTATTAAATTTCATTATTTCAGCAAGAAGGGTTAGTAGTTGAATACAACTGGCATACTTTTAACGAACATTAATAGCTGACTATCCGAAAAGTCCTCTACACGTACAGCCTCACCCATCAGAAAATTCGGATAGACAATTTATTCCTTTTAGGATCGCGTACCACACAAGCGCCAAGGGTGTTTAAATATTAACTAATGGCTAGCAATAAACACTGAATTAGAAAAAAAATGCGAGGTTTCAAAACCTAAAGTGTTTTTATTGGCAACTGATAAAGCTTCGAATGATTATAAAACAGATGAAAGAGGAGGGAAGATGAAATAGGAGCGTACTGGTAATACCACATTGATTTGAAGGAATATACAAATATGGTCTATATGAGAAGAATGGGCAATGATACCCTTGAGAATATGAGTGTAAATGTACTGTTAATGCAACGGAACGATATTCTAATAAAGAAGAATCGGTAAACTCGAATAGAGATAACAGACGGGATTCTGAGCCACTAGGACATAAGGGTAAAAGGTGAAGTATGGTCACAACGAGCGCGGTTTAAAGATAATTTTGGAAAATAATTAGTGAGTAATTGATCGAAAGCAAAGAAAGTAAAATGAATTATTAAATTTTATGCAAACTTTCAAAGTCTTTTCATTGATGCATTAAATGAAAAGTAAAATGGTCAAGAGATTAAATAATTTTATCGATGAATGTTCTTCAAAATATTATGTTCAAAATAAACAAGATTTAAATCAAATAGAAAGGGAAAATACATTATAATGAATTTATCAACCACTTATTTGAGGCTTCTCTTTTATTTACTACACATAGAGCAGTTTCTCTCTGAATATAAATAATTTACTCACAAGAAATGAGCTTGAAGAAAGTGGATGTTAGATTGTGATGAATATTATAACGGTTTAAATATGGAATGAAATCAAAATGTCAGTATTGGCAGGTAACAACATGATTTCTAGTTATTTTGAAACATGTCCTTTGAAATAGGAATAGAATGAGCCAAATTCTTAATAAGACACTGAATTTCGGGTGTCTTTAATTAGAGCAGGCGTTGTAGATAGGTAAATCAAAAGTCAAAATATCTTTATGGACCCAGAAGTCAATTTTTTAAATCCAGTTGTCATGGCACAATTATCAACTTTAAAAAAGAATATAGTATTAAAATTAATTAATTACAATTACTTTTAACAATACTATATTATATATTTTTATAAAATATTACCTCCTGTAAACCTACATTTGTTTGTATTTACTAAAGGCGTGTTATTTTTCAAAGGTTCATTTGCGTGACTGCCTCCCTTCCACCATGTCTCTGGATGATTTCTTTAACAAGAAGTCTAAAAAGAAGGCAAAGGTTATTACTACAAGCGCATTATTGCAACAAATCACAGATACAAATCCCCTACCTCAACCTGAAGCAGAGATTGTTACCGACCTTATTCCGATTCCACCAGCTGAAACCGATGAATGGGAGCCTATACAAAATGATATCGTTCCAGATTTCTCAGAACTAACTCTTCGTGATTTAGATGAAGAAGAGGATAAAGATTCAGCATCAATTGATGGAAAAGATACATCTAAATCAAGTTCCAACGAGGTTGCTTGGAAAAATAGATCAAAGTCTGAAGGTGAGTTTCATTTTTTATCATAATATTTTATATTTTCAGAAGAGGGCGAAAAGCAAGAAGTTGTAGAACCTAAGAAGCCTGGTATTTTCGTACCATCCGTTTTTTCGAAAAAGAATAATCTTCCCAACGTAAACAGTATGGATGAATTTCCAACATTAGCCGCTGTAAAAGATAAACCTGCAAAGAAAGTTGAGAAAACCGTGGAACCGGCCGACAATTCATGGACTGATGTTCAAAGAGGATCTAATCGACGCCGGGAAGAAACAAGTGGCTTATACGTACCTCCCATTAATCGTCCAGATGGCCGTAGCAGATATGTTCCTACCAGTAACGTTGGATTCCATTCGGGGAGTGCTATTCCTGACCGATCTGGTTTCAGCACTCACCAGCCTACTGCTTCATCCAATTCCCAATGGAAACGTGGAACTACTATTAAAGAAAATGAAGTTGCTTCGATACCTTCTTTTGGCGAACAGAGGGGGTCCAGAGGATCTGAACGTAAATCTGGAGTGTAAGTTTCGCGCATTTACAATTTTACAATCGTTAATTGTTTTAATGTTTTATCTTTTTTTCTCTATCAGCATCTCAACCGAAAAACGCTACGTTCCTCCACATCTAAGAGCTGCCCAACCCATCAGTCAGTCCAATCGTTTCGCTCAACTGGATAACTCTTAGTCTACTGGGATCTATTTTTCTGCATTGTAGCAATCCCTTCCTTCTAATTTAACTGCAAATGCCTAAGTGTATTGTTACTTTGTACATTCAGTTTGTATGTATGCATTTGTTTGTCTGTAGCTGCCAGCATTCGCTTATATAATTCGTGTCTGCGAGTGGTCAGATAAATATTTCCCGCTTATATAATCCCTCTTTTTCCAAGCCGCACTTTATATTCCCAGCCCTCCTTTGCCGAAGAATGCTGTGCAAAATCTATACAATGGGTGATGGTATCTCTTATCTGTCTTTCATTCAGATCATTGTTTGGATTTACTCATCGAGTAAATTCTATCCCATCCAACTTATTCTATTACATTTTTTTCAATAACCCACAACAGGGTCCGTTAGGGAGTACGACTCTCAATGCAAATGCGATTTATTGTCAATGTAGATCTGAGCTGCGATCAATTTTAATTCAAATATAAGTTTAATTGTGTTGTGAGTATTGGTTTGCTTGGATAAATGGGTTTGGTGGAGTCAGAAGTAGTACGACTTTAATTATTGACCTATTGTCTTGTGGAATTATTGCGTCGTAATGCACTTAACGGCTTTTAGTTGATTATGACCGCTTCAAATGTACTCCTTTTCGGTATAGCCGCCTAGTACTCGTTGATTGTTGTCAGAATATCTTGTACTATAATCTTGGCCATTTTATCTGTCAGCATGAAATTAACTCGGCGATACTCTGTTTAAGTATGTTTATTCCCATAAGCATTTTAAAAAATTGAATAAGATATTGCGACTTTAGTTGTTATGGTTCAGATCAGTAGAATATTTTCTTAATGGTGCACGTTTGGCTATTAGTCTATGTTGAATTCAATATTCCAAAGCGGTTTCGCCAGGATATATTCCTTGGGCTGGGGTGCGTGGTAGCGGAGAGAAGTTTGGTACTTGTTTAGTTCCTAAACCAGGTCGGTTATCGGCAGTGGAGTATGGGCTGTGTGATTTTGAAGTAGTGTTATGGCGTATTCGTGTTTATCGATCAGTCAGAATGGCCACCTATTGGCTGAATGAGGTATCAGAGTATGCCAATTTTGTTTTGTTTTTTATCTAAGATGTTCATGCCGAGATTAGATGAGGTGGGCTATTGTGAAGCTTAATGGTCGACAGAGATGGTGGTGCGTATGGCCGATTGCATTAATTAGCCATGATCGCTAAAGGTGGCTGTGAGTTTCAAGTTTTCCGTGGGGCTAACGGACGAAAGTTCCCCGATGACTAAGCAAGATAGGGTCACCACTTTTCACTATGAGGGTTTGTACCAAGTATAATTGTTTCTAATTAGGTTAGAAGAACAATGGAATATTATAAAATAGATCTCATTGTGATTGAAAAGAGTTGATGTTGAGTGAGCACGGCTTGCTGAAATCCTCTATAGTAAATTTTTTCTCACGTCTCTATTCTGTTGAAAGTGTAGGTTTCCGAGTTACCATCTTAACTGTCAGCAAAAAGTAAATTGAAACTTCAATGCCGATCAATAATTACCGGAAGACTGTGGATGGTCATTTGCTCTAGTCTCGGGGAAAAATAGCAAGATTTGAGTATTAGAACATGAACTATCCAGTTAGTTAACATTGCAAAACTCAAATTCAAAAATCAAATGAAGCAAGATTTTGAGATACCCCGAAATTTCTTTCAAAAACTTCTGAAACCCTCTTCTTTGTCATTTGGCAGGCATAATGCTGATCAAAGTGAGCGGCATTCCACTATTGTATAACTAATATGTTTTTGCGTTACTGTGATCACAATAATAACAGCGGGTATTAATTCGCTTAAGTGAAAATTAGTCAACCTAGATGGGATTAAATCGATTTGTATTTATTGAAAATCGATTTCCGCAAGAACTTTTCTCTATGTATCTGAGGTTAATAATGAATGCTGATTGTGAGAAAGCATTCAACAATAAAATTTACATACTGGCAAAGCAATTTGTTTATAAATTAACGCTTTGTAGACCGTTTAGTAGAAAGGAATTAACTCTACTCAGAATGCCGATTGACCGTCAATCTCCACTTTCATTGGCATCACAAGCCACGTGTTCTTTGAGGCGATACAAGTGACAATCTCTTCATTCGAGAACTCTACTGAAGTTGAGTTCTCTGATGCACTTCCCTATATTTGTTTGACCCGAATCAACATGTTACCACAATTTGGCTCCACTTTGTCCTACAACTCGCTACAGTTGTTTAAACACTCTATACCTTAAACCTAGCTTAGTCCAGGGCAATCCTGTGCTGAATATCGGAGTTAATCACGTCAGTTAGTTCTTGTTTGAAGATTTTAATATTTTCTCAACCATATTAATTGTTTTAAATATTCTAATCCAGATTTACGTCTTGAGGCATTTTATAGACTCTGTCCCCACAAAAATCTTGCTTCAGCAATAGAAAGTCACCTGATATCTAAGAGACAAGGTGGTTTGGAGAGTATAAATGTGTTGGGGGGAGGGGGGGGGGATTTAGTAATAAACGTCTTGACGCCTGTAGTGCATATCTCAGAGATTTTCTGCACATACACCTCTTCCACGCAACTTCTTAAGAAATTACCCATTTTGTTGTCATTCAGGAGCCTAGGAGTCAGATCGATTAATATAATGTTATCGAACGTAAAAAAAAAGGCTGATGAATTCATGAAGCGAAAAAATTAAGATCACTTCGGCAATTTTAGTTGAGTTTCTTCTATTATCAAACCTCTTTTCCCTCCATTTGAACTGCTATACTATTATTCAAGTTCTGTTACTCCTGCGCGATTATAGTCTATTGTTACTTTTCTTTTATATGGGTAATGAAATACTGAAACACCTGATTTAAGTGTTTTTTTGGCTGAACTTAATGCAGGTAAGTCGGGGTATTCGTAACTGAAATGCAGATAATGGCAACTGCAAACTAATCCAAAAATATTTAAGTAAAGGGGATGTAGGCAGAGAATTTCGTATTAAATCACAAGATATAAGTGAGAAAAAAGAGTATTAAAGTTAAAATGCTTTCACAGATATTTATATGAAGTCAAAATTTTTATCATTTTGCTGCTTAAAATTGATGCTTAATTAAAAAAAATTGCAGGTTCGATTTCAATTGCTAAAAAGATATTACTTAGACAGAGAATCGTAATGCAGATTTCCATATAACTTGAGTTACAATCCCAATTTCTACCTTAGTTTGATTAGAGTGTCAGTACTTTTGGAACCTGGCTTTTATAAAGCACCTAACTAAACACCGAAATCACATATTTCACAACTTAGCTCAATTTCATCTCTTATATCTGGAACCAGAGGTTTGCGATAGACTTGCCTCCACGTGGTGCACCATGGGCAACGTGTACTCTTTCGTCGAAAAAGTCTATTAACCGGCAGTTGACTTCTGACTTCAAACTGCCAGGATCCCACTGTATGTCATATTCGACCCCTTTCACAGAACTCACCTCACCTTTTTTCTACCTTTTCCACCTTCGTCTTTGAAGCACTCTTCTGTTTCCCCCCCCCC